CCTGGAAATTTCTACAATGCATATTTCATTCTCCTTGATGATATCTCACCAAGTTTCTTTGACTCTGTTTATTTTTCCGCATTCTTTTTTTTCTTTCTGTTCCATATACTGAAAATCTCAATCAAACTATCTTCAAATTCATGGATGATTTTTTTTGTGATAAAAACTGTTATTGAGGATACAACCAGAGAACTGAAAATTTCTGCTCCATTTGTGTACAATGAATCAAAAAGCATTCTGCTGTCATGTATAACTGATTAGAATAAATAAATAAATAAGAAAAAACTGTTATTGAGCTGGTTAGCGGTTTTTTTTTCAATTCTAGAGTTTCTATTGGTTCTTTTCTTTTCTTTTTTTTTTTTTTTTTGGTGGAGGTCCTGGCAATTGAACACAGGGGGCCTTGTACATGCTAGGCAAGCCCTCTACCAACTGAGCTATATCTATATCCCCAGCTTCTCTATTAGTTCTTTGAAAATGCAATTTCTATTTGCTTGTTGATATTTTTAATTAGATGTTATTCTCATTTTTTCTTTCAGTTTTTTAGATATAGCATTTTAATTGGTTTTTTAAATTGTTAATTTAAACTTTGCCTCCTTTTGGTCTAATGCCTGAATTTCTCAGGGACATTTTCTATTGACTGCTTTCTTTTCTTAGGGGTGGATATACTTTCTTGTTTCTTTGCATATGACCTAATTTTGTTATTGGAAACATCATTGAAAAATGTACAACTCTGAAAATCAGATTTTCTTCCCTTTCCAGGGTTTATTGCTATCATCTTTTTCTTTCCCCTCTGAAGTAATTCAGTAAATTCTGATCCTTGCTCAGTTAGCTTAGTGGTCAACTAATGACCAGACAGAGATTTCCTCAAATGCTTAGTACGTATAAGCCTACCAGTTTTTAAGAAAGGTGTGTGTGTGTGTGTGTGTGTGTGTGTGTGTGTGTGTGTGTGTGTTGAGGAATCCTCCCAAAGCTCAGCCAGGCAGTTGACAACTCTGCCTTAGCCATCACATTTAGCCTCAAGACTGCCTCAAGACTGGCTAAAAGTGAGAGCTTAGATCCTTCTCAGGTCTTCTTTGAGCATGTTTTATAGTTTTTTGTGTGTGTCTTTTTAGATTTTTAGAAATGAATTGGAGCTTTTCAAAGCTCCTTATGGATATTTTTCCTGAGCTTTTCCTTTTAAGTCTTTTGATGAGCTTATTATTTGCCTCAATTGTTTGCCCACCTCCAGCAGCAATATTAAAAAATTGCCTCTGGTTGTTTTCAACCAAAGACCCTGGGGAAATACCGTTCACTGGGTGAACTCTAATCAGGTCAAATAAAGTCAGTCTAGCAAGTGTATCTTCCATTTGTTATGACAATTCTCTGAGAATGAGGCTTTAAAGGGGCTGCAGCACCTTTCTGTTCTTTCCAGGGGCTGCCAGCTGCTGTTTGTCACCATGCTTGTAAGTTATTAAATTTCAGTTTCTAAGGGCCTGGAAAGAGAGAGAAAATAGCTCACTTCTTTTTTACTGAAATTTGACAGTTTTCTTGAATAAACATTTCTAGAATTGTTGCAAGCCTTCAGTTAAGTTCCAGAGTTCTGCAATAATGAATTTTGACACTTTTCCAATGTTCACATGAATTCTAGTGCGGGGGAGAATTTTCAGTTGTCCTTACTATGTTTTCATTCTGGAATATGGCTTTTGACTCTTGGCCAATTTATGATATAGTGATTAAATTTCTCTGAATTTCTGAATTTCTCCCTGGAGACTCCTAGGGTTGGTTTCTTTACTAATGTTTTGCAACTGAACTTACATGTTTTACAAATGAGGCTTGATTATTTAAAGGGCCTAAGAGTTTCTTCTTTGAGATCCCTGTAGACAAGATTTCTCTTACAGAATTTGGTGGTTCATGCTGGTAATATGGAATGGTTTATTTGTGCAAATAAGGGCCCTAGGGAGTTTGCACAATGGATATTTTCCTGAACACCGGTGTTTGCCTGTACTCTTCTTTTTCTTGCTGCACCCCTTTAAATAAAAGCCTGCCTGACTCTACTCTGATAAAACCTTTCAAATAACCCAAGTTGGGTTATTTGCATATATCCATTCAATATAATGCTATGCAGCTGTAGAAAACTATGGRAAATATATCTGTGAAATGATATGCAAAAATGGCCAATGTATTTTTTAATAAAAATATAGGTACAGAACTATAATATAGTATACTAGGAGATAAATACATGGGTTTGTAATTGTATTTATTTGCTTTGCATGAAAAAAATACTGAAATGATACACACACTAAAAAATTACTAATAAGTAGTGGAAGCAAGATACTTCAACTTGATTTTCATAAGTTTTTACTTTCAAACTTATGAATATAATACCAATTAAAATGGAATTTTAATGTAAGATTAGAAAAAGAAAAATTAAGTCAAGGGACCCAAGAGGTATAATAATGTATTAAAGTGGCTCATAATAAGTACTAAGAAATAAAGATAGAAAAATAATAGACATGCCAAAATATAAACATGAACAACAAAAGTAAATAGCACAAAATGAATAGATGAAGTTTTACCTGGATATCATATAAAAGGCTTTGATAATTGCTTCTTCTCAGAATTTCCAAAAAGCAGTGCACATGGCATTTTGTGCAGGCTGCTTCATTTTCTTGGGGGCTGTTCTGTGTATTTTGCAAAGTTTAGCGGTATTCCTGAACCCTACTCACTAGATACCAGTAGCACTTCCTTCCACCAGTTGTGACAACCAAAACTGTCTCTAGAAATTGCCAAATGGGGAGGAAGCACCAAAGTCACATCCAGTTGAGAATCACTGTTTTGACTAATCTCAGTAATAATTAGATTTTCTGAGAGGCTCATTAAAAACATTTAAAATTTTTCTAGTGAATATTTTCATTGAGATTTCAAATACTTTCCCAGTTTCTTAAATTGTTATCATAATCCTGATTTAGTCGGGATGCTACTGTATAAATTCTTTYCAGTAACTTTAATGATTTATCAGAAACATTTTCTTTTTTTAATGAGATATTTAAAATGTTGAATCATTGGGTCTGATTTTGAAACTTCTTGTGTAGGATCCTATCTCTATTTTTTTGATGTTAGAGAAATAGAATCAAAACTCGCATTCACATACACATTTTTCAGTACAGTTTCTTGTAATTGAGGGGTGAAACATGTCTAATGCGTTTGAAGTAATCCTGTTACTGACTTTTTTCCTTTACTTGTCTGGAATTCTTGAAATCTTTCAAGAAATTGTCCAGAGGTTGGTAAGGCCAGCAATTAGTTAAATAATTCCACATCTGTCTCAATTCCCATCTGATGACCTAAACCCAGAGACCCTGCCACTGCAGCAAATCACAATTCTGACAGCTCAACTTCTGGTAGGTATGTAGAAATACAGGAGGCTTCTCCCTCAGCTCTACCCAGCATCTTCTGAGAGTGATGCATATGGTCATAAGTACTTTAAAATGGTTGTTCCATTTTTGAAGAAAGTAACCCAAGAATCTAGAACCAGGAGACTGGCTCACAGATTACAGCACATCCCTCCACCCGAGTTTAGAGTCAAATCTCCTTCCACCTTCCTGTCTTCTTCCAGAGGGTTTATTGTTAATGTGATTAATTGCAGTTACGGGAGGGAGCGAGGAAGCACACATTTCCCCCAAGAATCACAGTGGTCTACCCTGTTTCCAAATTCAAGTGAAAGGGATTTCATTATTGAAAGAGAGATACAGGCAAAGCACGAAAGTGAGGCCAGTTGTATAACTGCGACAGAATAATTATTTTCATTCTGGGGGGAAAAAAGGACCAWAAAGACAGGATGCTCCGAAATGAATCTTCAACTTACAATGGGATCTTAACCACAGTCCCTTCCCTCTTCCCCGACGCCTTCAGATACTTGGAATCAATTCTCCCGGGTGCGTGCGTGCAAGACCAAGCGCACCGCCAGGAACTCGCCCAGGATCACCGGCTAAATAGCAAACAGATGCCTGGCAAGCCAGAGACCTCACTGACGAGGGCACAGCTTGGGAAGCCTGTTCCAGCCCAGTGGTTTCCGGGTGGAAAGGCTGTCCGGCCGGCTTGTTTTATCCTCTTTGCTTCAAATGGGCGGGTTTCGAAAGCAGGAATAGAGTCCCCCTCGCCCCCAGCAAAGCTGCGGAGAGTTAGATCCAGCTCCGGGCAGGGAAAATCCCGCCGCAGAAAATTGGGGAAGAATGGAGGCTTCCTTGCTTCCCCTTCCCGAGGTAAAGCAGCCCTCCCTTCCTCTTCTCCCTTGAACTGCAGACTACGTGCTCACATAGTTTTTTGTAGACCTCTCCTGCAGCCCAGCTTCCTAAATTCCAGAAAGACTCCAGGACCCCAAACCTTGTTTCCAAGTTCTCATTCTCTGTTCCAGCCTCATGCATCCTGTCTTAATTCAGGAGGCGAATTTGGGGGCCATAGTTTTGGCTTCAGATATTATGAAAGCGCAGTTGCCTCTCTCAGGGTCATTTCAAAGCGTTTCCCCAAATGTTTGGGCACACGAGGCCCAAGCTGGTGGCCAAAAAATGTTATTGCCGGGAGCTCGTCGTGGTCAAGCTTGGTATCTGACCCTTCTGCGACAACAAACAGGGCACACCCCAGCAATTCTGAACTCCTCGAAAAGGTCCAGATTAGAGTTTGGTTCTACAGCTCCCGCCTGCACTTATCCCGAATGCTTCTTCTGCGGGGTCATTCACTTTGGACCCCCAGGGGCGCGCATCTTGGTGCGCCCGTCCGCCTCTTCCTAGCGATCTGGTGGGGCGGGTTGGGTAGGCTGGGACCTGGATCTGATTAACTGGGAGGGGGAAGCCCTGGTCCCAATCACTTTCTTCTGTCGCAGTTCTCCTAGGCTTCTAGAGGAGGAGGGTAGTACAAGAGAGAAAGGGCGGAGAGTGTGGGGGGTCCCACCAACCAATACCCTCGCTGGGGATTGTGTCTCTTCTGCTATCTCGAGTATCCTATCTCGCCAGCGCCACACTCGCGTTATGGAACCCCCCTCCAGCTCTGGCTTCTATGTGAGCCGTGCGGTGGCCTTGCTGCTGGCTGGGCTGGCTGCCGCACTCCTGATGGCGCTGGCAGTGTTAGCTTCTCTGTATGCCCACTGCGCGCGTGTCCCGCCGTCGGATCAGCGTAGCCTAGAGGTCCCAAACGCCGCGTCCTTCTCTCCCCTCGGGCAGGAGGGGCCATCGTCAACGCAGGAACCCCGCACTACTAGTGAGCCGCAGGTGACAGCCACCTCGCAAGACTGGCGACCTCCGGGCCCCTGGGACCAGCTGCGCCTGCCACCCTGGCTGGTGCCGCTTCACTATGATCTGGAACTGTGGCCCCGGCTGCAGCCCGATAAGCTCTCCGTGCCGTTGTTGCGATTCAGTGGTCGAGTGAACATCACGGTGCGCTGCGCGGTGTCCACTAAGAGACTGCTGCTACACAGCCTCTTCTTGGACTACGACCGCGCTGAAGTGAGGGGTCCCCTGTCCCCAGGCACTAGGAACGACACCGTGGGCGGCGTGCCGGTGCATGATGTGTGGTTTGCTATGGACACTCAATATGTTGTGCTGGAACTCGGTGAAGCTCTACAGCCTGGTAGCCGCTATGAACTGCACCTCAGCTTCTCTGGCCCAATATTCCAGGAAGTCAGGGAGGGGCTCTTCCTCAACACGTACACCGACCAGGGCGAGCGCAGGTAAGGGCTGCTTAGCCCAAATCCCCTGTGTCCCTCCTCTGCGTCCTGGAGCAGGCTGCAGATCCAGCTGCCCATAGTGTCCAGGTGTTCACTTCCTGCCCTTCTTATAGGCATTTGCCTCTTGGACTTTTTCTTCCAGAGCCAGAGAACSAACTCCTCCTTTCTTTCATTTCCTCCTGAAACTGCTAGAAGTTAAAGTTTCCAGACCTAAGTTCCTCCTCTGATTAGTTTTCTTCCCTATCCTGCCCATCCAATTTGAGGTCTCTGCCACCCCAAAGGTTCATCGTTTTCTTCAGAAAGCCCCTTTCCCTCCAGCCCAGAATTTCTTCAGCCTCCTACTCCCGAAAAAATCCCTTGCTATTCAAAGATTGGTGCTCTGACCAACAGCCGCTGTAATACCTGGAAGTTTGTTGGAAATGCAGATTCTTAGGCTCTACTCCTAACCAAGGGGCTCAGAATCTTGGGATTTTAATGAAAAATTTAACGAGATTCTTGGGTGTTTGCGGGTGTTAAAGTTGGAGTAGCGTCGGGTTAAAGCACCCTTCTCTTTCTGAGGTTCTTCCCTACCCAGAGCGCTCTAGGTGCTCACTTCCCTGCTCTGCCTCTTTTTTGGGTCACTTTTAAAGAGCTGCTCTTGCAACAAATATACCCACATCAGGAGTGTTTGTTTCCATGTCCTTTGGTTTTCTGCTAAGGCTTGCTCTCCACAACTCTGGGATTCATCCCCTTCCACTACTGTCTGGGGCACTCATCCCTGGCAAGTAGCATCTTCCCCTACCCTTTCTATATTTTGTCAAGCTCTGCAGAACGTCAGAGATGGGTACTTCTGAGATTCCTCTTCTGGGAAAAACTAAATAAATAAAAGCTATGACAAGACACGTCCTCTCTGAGTTTCAAGCCCACACAAAGAACTTGTGTTCCTTTTCCACTCCTTTGAGAGTGGAAAAGGAATACTCCCAAATGGGGTATTTCCAGCCCTGTTAAAAAAAAAAAAATCATCCCTTCCTTACTCTGCCATCAGAGTGGCATATATAGAACAAAGGAAACAGTTTCTCTATTTTTTTTTAACCTGCCATCTTATCCTTCATTCATTCAGTGGAGGAGCATTTGTGGTTTATAGGACTGCATGTACTTTACCCATTGTTATTAGAGAAAATGTTCTCAGAGGTTCTGGGAAGGGGGGGACAGTGAACCTATTAAATCACCTTCTAAACAATCTCTTGCACTTTCTTTCCCAAAGTTTCAAAGGTTTTAAGTAAGTTTAATGATCTGCCTTAGTGGATATGTAATCTGTAAGTTTTGTTTTTAAGGAGAGTATGCTTGTTTTTATTTTTTCAAAAATGCATTAATACTTGAAAAATAGTCTCAAAATTTTCTCATTAGGATGATGTCTTATCCAACTCATACACATGTAGACCTTTTGAAATAACTGTATTTCAGGGTGCAAGATCTTTCAGAGAAAAAAAATGGAAATTCTGCATAGATATCTGACAATGTTTTGTTTTGCCACCCAGTAAATCTTAATTTGTTCATCCATATCCCCTCCCTCCCTCCCTTTCTCCCTCCTTCTCTCCYTCCCTACCTCCCTCCCTCCCTTCCTTCCTTCTTTCCTTCCCTCTGTCTTAGTGGGTGTATGACTCAGACAAAGTAGCAAACATGGTAAAGGAATACATTTCTCTCTTGTGCCAATCAACTCTAACAACAAGTAGAAACCGTGCTTTCAGAACAATAAAATTGAGGTAGAGGGGCTGGGGTTGTGGCTTAGTGGTAGAGTGTTCTTCTAACACATCTAACATGTGCAAGGCCCTGGGTTTGATCCTCAACACCACATTTAAATAAATAGATAAGATGTATTGTGTCCAACTACAACTAAAAAATAAAATAAATATAAAAAATTGAGGTAGAGTTTCAAACTTGTGGTGTTTTGGAAGAGATATAGCCAAGAAGTTTTCCCTTTGGTCTTTGCATTTGAAATCACCATCATTTGAAATCATTTGAAAAGACAGCTGTTGTTAAGCATGAAGCCAAGGTCATGAAGAACCTGGTATGACAAATTTGGGGATCCCAACAGATCTGTATTTGAAACTGAGCTGTGTGAATTAAGCCAGTTCTTAGCCTCTGTGAGTCAGTTTTCTCATTCATTCATTTCATGGAATAGATATAATAACTGTCAACTTTTAGAATATGGTAAGAATTAAGTGAGAAAGGAGGTACACAGCTTGGGCAGTGGTACCAGCTATTATAGGTCAGGTCATCATTGTTGGCAGCAAACAGCCCCCTCATTATMTAAACATTAAAACTGTCAAGTTCCTAGATTTGAGTCTGAAAGGTCCCAGACAGGAACAAACCAGGGGCCAGGGAACTGAGGAGTTATTATCACATTCATATAGAGTTTTTTTTAAAATTAGTTGTTCAAGACAATACAATGATCTTGACATATCGTACATTTGAATCCAATAGGGTATGAATTCTCATTTTTCCACGTGTACAGATTGCAGGATCACATTGGTTATACAGCCACGTTTATACATACAGCAATCCTAGTGTCAGTTATATTCTGCTGCCCTCCCTATCCCCCCTCCCCTCCTCTCCCATCACCTCTCTCTACCCATTCTACTGTGACACTTATCTCTCTCTTTTTTTTCTTTCCTCCCCCCTCACACCATCGTATATGTATTTTGTGAAACCATGAGGGTCTCTTTCTATCTTCAGTGTAATTCCCCTTCTCCCTCCCATCCCCTCTCACCTCTTTTCCTTGTTTCATGGTAATCTTCTTCTCATGCTCTTCCTCCCTACTCTGTTTTGAGTCACCTCCCTTATATCAGAGAAGACATTCAGCATTTGTTTATTAGGGATTGGCTAACTTCACTTAGCATAATCTGCTCTAGTGCCATCCATTTCCCTGCAAATGCCATGATTTTGTTATTTTTTAGTGCTGAGTAATATTCCATTGTGTATAAATGCCACATTTTTTAATCCATTCATCTGTTGAAGGGCACCTAGGTTGGTTCCACAGTCTAGTTATTGAGAATTGTGCTGCTATGAACATTGATGTAGCTGTGTCCATGTAGTATGCTCTTTTTAGGTCTTTTGGGTATAGTCTGAGAAGGGGAATAGCTGGGTCAAATGGTGGTTCCATTCCCGGCTTTCCAAAGAATCTCCATACTGCCCTCCAAATTGGCTGCACCAATTTGCAGTCCCACCAGCAATGTACAAGTGTATCTTTTTTCCCACATCCTTGCCAGCACTTATTATTGTTTGACTTCATAATGGCTGCCATTCTTACTGGAGTGAGATGGTATCTTAGAGAGGTTTTAATTTGCATTTCTCTGATTGCTAGAAATGGTGAGCATTTTTTTTTGTGTACTTGTTGATTGATATCACTCTTACGAATTATAAAGGAGTAGAGATAACACCATGCATCTTATATGATTATAATGGAATGAAACTGGAAATCAACGTTAAAAGAAGGAGGGAAAAATCCTACTTTACTTGGAGAATGAACAATATGTTACTGAATGATCAATGGGTTACAGAAGACATCAAGGAGGAAATTAAAAAATTCATAGAAATAAATGAAAACACAGACACAACATATGGGAATCTATGGGACACAATGAAAGCAGTTCTAAGAGGAAAATTAATTGCTTGGAGTTCATTCCTCAAAAAAAGGAAAAACCAACAAATAAATGATCTCACATTTCATCTCAAAGCTCTTGAAAAAGAAGAGCAAAACAACAGCAAATGTAGTAGAAGGCAAGAAATAATTAAAATCAGAGCTGAAATCAATGAAATTGAAATAAAAGAAACAATTGAAAAAATTGACAAAACTAAAAGTGGTTCTTTGAAAAAATAAATAAGATCAACAGACCCTTAGCCATGCTAACAAAGAGAAGAAGAGAGGGAACTCAAATTACTAGCATACAGGATGAAAAAAGCAATATCACAACAGACACTACAGAAATACAGATGATAATTAGAAATTATTTTGAAACCTTATACACCAATAAAATAGAAGATCGTGAAGGCATTGATAAATTTCTTAAGTCGTATGATCTGCCCAGATTGAGTCAAGAGGATATACACAGCTTAAACAGACCAATATCAATTGAAATAGAAGAAGCCATCAAAAGACTACCAACCAAGAAAAGCCCAGGACCAGATGGGTACATAGCAGAGTTTTACAAAACCTTTAAAGAAGAACTAATACCAATACTTTTCAAGCTATTTCACAAAATAGAAAAAG